GCACAACTGGGTTTAAATTTATGTCTTAGTCAATTTCTTGGACAAATTTAAAATTATAAGAAACAAAATTTAAAAGATTAAACCCTAAAATAATTATTCTTAAAGTTCTGGTATTACTCATATTCTTGACTTTTACTTAAATCTATATTTAGTTGTTCTTAGTTTTTTTATCATACAACGTATTTTTACTTAAATTTTTTATTTCATTATACACAATATTATTCATGACTTTTACTTAAATTTTCAGTATTATGAGAGAGCTGCACAACTGAGTTTAAATTTATGTTTTAGTCAATTTCTTAGACAAATTTAAAATTATAAGAAACAGAATTTAAAAGGTTAAACCCTAAAATAATTATTCTTAAAGTTCCGATATTACTCATATTCTTAGCTTTTACTTAAATCTATATTTAGTTGTTCTTAGTTTTTTTTATCAAACAATGCATTTTTACTTAAATTTTTTTTTATCATACACTTAATATTATTCATGACTTTTACTTAAATATGTATTTAATTATATTATTTTGATAATTAGACATAATCATGCTAGTACATCCAAATTTTTTTTGTGTGTGTATATTTTGGTGCTTGATTAGAGAAATAAAAAGAAAATAAAATAGAATAAAAAAATTGTCATAAAAACATATTTCCTTTCTAATAAATATTTATGGTTCTGGATGATTATTTGAACAAGGCTGTAAATTAATACGTCACATAAATTTATAATTTTTTAGATCAATTAAAACTTTAGATAATATCCTAACTTGTTCATGATAATATGAGTACTAAAACTTTCTTTATAGAATTTTAAATTATTTATCTTATGATTCAAATTAATAATAATAATGGTAGAATACATTCTTAATTACTAATTTATTGATCTACATAATTTATGTTGTAATATATGTGTTTTAACAAAAAAGAAATAGAAACTTTATTATTTTAAAATAAAGTTTAATTAAGATACATTATTATTGAAAGAGTTTTATTATTGTCATTAATTAAAAATAACTTTAAATATAACTTTTAAAAGTAATTACTATTGAAATTAAGAATTATGAACTATAAGACAATTCATAATTAAATGATAATAAAAAATAATTTACATTAATAGTATATTTAATTAAATTTTTTAAACAATAAATAATTAAGTATCTCATGCATCAAAGGGTTTATATATATGAAATAAAAAAATATATATAACAATTACCTTCCTGCTCCTCATTCAAATTTTCTAATGAGGCAATTTCAGTCAAGCCTCTCTCCTTAGGATTAGATTTGACCATATTGATTTCTATCTTCCTAATACTACAAGAAAATTAACTTAGTGATAGTAAAAAAAAACTTGTATAAAAGATGGTTTCTAGACATTCTATACTTTTTTTTTGTTTTTCATGTTCCACATGATATACAAATGACGCCTCATTATACATGAATATTAACTTGTAATTATAAATAGTCAATGTTATAAGTAAAAGAATTGTTTTTAGAAAAAGCATCTATTGTCTCAAAAACCTATGACATGGACATAAATAGTATGAACAATTAAATTTGTCAATAAAAAAATTATCCAAGTTGAATAAGAAATCTTAAGAACAAGAAATAACTATAAAGGGACAAAACTTATACATTAAGGAACAAGTTTGTACATAAAGTAATAATTACACACGAAAACATGTCTAAAAAAACACTTATCAGATTGATATCAAAAAATTAAAAAGAAAATATATATAATCTTACTTAAAAAATAGGAGGTAAACAATCTAACTATTTATATTATATTTGTTAATTCTAAAAAGCATGCATCACATGAAACTATTTTAATTTAATTTTTTTATTTATGTTTATCACAAACTATCAAACAAAAAAAAATTTCAGCAGAGGAGAAGATAAGACAAGTAGTCAAAATAGATGAAGATAGTACAAGCAATCAAAACATATGAAGAAATCCTATGTCAAAAATTTTTCCATAAGTCAAAACAATTCTATAAGGAATTATGTGAACATATAAATATCAAAAACAACAATTGAAGTAAAAGAGAAATACAAAATTGGAAAGAGAACACATTTCACAACCACAACAAAAGTGTTAGTCAATATCAATCACAATGATAATTCAAATTCAATATGATTTAAGGCAAAGTAATATAACAAGATAGTATATGCAACTAGTTAATATCAAGTTTATATTGAACTTTGAAGTTGTTCATGGTCTAAGCACACATGGCAAGGGTTCATTAAAGTGCAACCTTTTAAACTTTCTTTGCAAGTATTTTAAGCACTAAATATTTTAGTTAACTAGAAGTAATATGTCTTAACTACTAAACATTTCTAAAGCATTAGAATCTAATTAATCAATTACCTTTGCAAGGAGAAGCAATGACAATACGAGCGTAAAGAAAGAAAAACCTAAAATAAAGAAGAAGGGCATAATCATATTCATACTGATTAAGGAAAAATAAAACAATAATAGATTAAGAAACAACACTATAACAAAATAACCTAAAATAAAAAAAAGAATGAGTAAACCCCTCACCCGCAACAACATAAACTTAATAGTCTATTAAACCAAATAACAAAAACATAAAACATTTCTAAAGCATCAGAGTGTAACTAATCAATTTACATTTGCAAGGAGAAACAATGACAACACAAGCGGAAAGAAAGAAAAACCTAAAATAAAACCACAGTAAATTAAGAAACAACACTATAACAAAATAAACCTTCACCCGCAACAACATAAATTCAGTAGTCCATTAAACCAAATAACAAAAATACAGAACAATATTAACAAAACCTAAAGAATAAAAACTATAACCTTAACCCTAAAGGAATAAAAAGCCAAAACAATTGCTTACCTTAGTAAAGAAGAAAGTGGAGTTGACTGATTGAGAGTAAGAGTAGTAAAATGAAAGAAAGAAACAATGGTAACAAGAAACAAAGACAGAGAAGGGAAGAAACATATTTTCGGTCAATGGTGGATTTCGACGGTTTCCTAATTTTAAATCCGCAGTACACCATATTTAACCATTTCAATCCAAAAAAATTATTCTACTTAGCCGAAAGTCATTTATATCAGTTTTGTGTGAGTGGGTTCTTCGATTTCGTATAGATCAGAGCGGTTTGGTTGGATCTAACCAACTCTACATCTTATTCTCCATGGATTGTTGATGATGGTGGCAATAATGTTTTCTTAAAACATCTTTTTGACATTCTAACAAAAGTTAGGAAGAAAGAAACAAGACCTAATTAGATAGGGAATGAGACTTGAATCAGTCTTTTATTTATTGGAATAGCCTAAATTTTAAGAAGTTTCAACTAAAAATAAGATCTCGACTAAAGAAAAAATTGTTTCACACTATAAGTCATGTTATCTATGATGATATGATATTTAGTAAGATACATATTTATTTTTTACACATTATTTTATTCATTTTAATATAATGTCTACTATTTATAAAATATGTTTAAATTTTTGTAGGCTAAAGAACTCAGTCAAACTTTGAATTTCAACGAGCTCTTCCTGCCTAACTCACACAAGGAAGTTTGAAGTTAGAATGATGGTTGTTCCATCACTACTTATGTAAGTTACTATTTTATATATTATTTTTTATATAGATTAATAAAATAGTTATATATATCTAATTATAATTTTTTTTATTAAACACGATATTAAAACCAATTTGAGGGAGGTATAGTCTTAAGTTGAGAAGTCTCTCCAAATGGCATATAGTAACAAATGGATGGCCTATACAATAATGCTTAAGATTATCTTATATTTGGTTTGCAAATATTCCAACACTTGGTGACATCCTCTCTATAGTGTAAAGAATAATCAAAATTCTTTAATCACAACATCGAATCAAGAACAAATCAACAAACTACTAGAAAATAATCTAAAAATAAAGTTCCTTCATACTATTTTTGTATTTAAATTATTTCTGTAGGCATTTATTCATGTGTGTGATAGAAAACTAAAAAATATTTGTTATATTCTTCTATATGGTGTCAGAGCTTGGGACTTCAAAAACAAACTTCAAAAAACTAGTCCATGAAATTATCGATTTTACTATAAATAAAATAAAAATATATTTGAAAAAAGAGCAATAGGTGTTGAATGATGAATTACTCACATCATGGCTTATTGGTAATATGAAAGAAGAAACTCTCTGTATAATCTACGAAGGGGATACAATATTTTTAATATAACTTCATGACCAATTGTTTTCCAATATTAAAGATAGTGAGCTTTGACTAAAAATAGCCTTTATGGCCTATCAAAGGAGAACCTGTCATTGGATGAATATAAAAGAAAATTCAAAGAAATTTATATTTATTAGCAAACCAATCTCATATGTTGGCAAAGTTTTTGAAATCTCAAAAAGGCTTGGAAATAAATACAAGGAGTTTTAGTAAATTGAAACCAAGATTTTGAAGTTTGAATAAATTTGGTCATTAACTACTTAAGATTTGACTTCTTTTCGGCTAGGGAAGAAAGATGTGAAGTTTATTGAAATCTCAGAGGTGTATTACTTCTCAGTGGTTATTGATTGTTGTTCTATGGTGAAGTTGAATAATTTCTCTAACCTGGATTATTCATGCCATTATAAGAGTGATAAGGTTGTCTATTCCCAATCACATTAATATGTTTTTCTTGAGTGGCTTGACACTCATGATTAGGATGACCTCGTCCACAAATATCAGATCTCATTAGAAGAGCAGCTGGATGATTGATAGATAAACTATCAATCTTCTTTCCTAAGGCTTTAACTTGCCTTGCCATTGATGTTACTACATCAAGACTATAAATTCCAACATATTTAGCAGGTTTGGATTGAGTGGAGCTCCAATGGTAGCTGTTCATTGCCATTTCTTCAAACAACTCTTGTACAACTCTCAGTGTCTTACCATTTAGAGTTTTCCCAACTGCAGCATCTATCATTTACCTTGTGGCTAGATTCAATCTACTATAAAAAGTTTGTACTTCAAGCCAGTTAGGAATTCCATGATGTGGACACTTCCTTAACAATTCCTTAAACCTCTCTCTCCTATGTATCATATAGCATTTTTGACTCCATCTGACAAAAGGAAGAGATATCATTTTGCATCTTGACAGTTTTTGCTAGAGGAAAATACTTCACCAAGAATTTTTTTGACATAGCCTCCTATGAAGTAATAGATCCTCGTGAAAAAGTGTTTAGCCACTATTTCACTCTACCCCTGAGAGAAAATGATAGTTGCAAACAGAGTGCATCATCAATAGCTCCATTAATTTTGAAAGTATCACAAATTTTCAAGAAATTAGCAATATGAACATTGGGATCTTCATCTTACAACCCATCAAATTGAACAAACTGTTAAATCATTTGAATAACATTAGGTTTGATTTTAAAATTTTCTTACACATCTGGTCGAACAATGCTAGATTTTGTCCCAATTAATGATGGACGAGCATAATCTGATATAGTCCTTTATTGATTCTCATTGTTTGCCATTCCTTTCATATAATTCTTTATGTTCTCCTTTTTTACTCGCAATTGCTTTTCTCTCTGAATTTTACACAGAGTTCTTTCTATTTCGAGGTCAAATTCTAATATTGCACCATAATTAGTTTTGGCCATGCACCAAAAAAATTAGCTTCTGAAAAAAAAATAAAAGAAAAATAAAGTTTAAACTAAGACTACAGAAACAAAGGAAAATTAACAAAGAGAGAATAAAAAAAATCTTAATGAATTAGTTCCCAGTAACGACATCAAAAACTTGATGGCTTAAATCAATGAATGGGCAAATGCACCCATTGTCACAATAGTATCACTAAAAAAGAGTACCAAATATCGCACCTACAGGGATTGTTAATTAAGATTTTCAATCCTTAATTACTTAGTTTTTAAAGAATACAAAAAAGGAATTATGATGATGATTTCGCTAAGACAAAAAGTAGCAAATAGAAAGAAAACATATTTCAAGAATTAAAATCTAGAAAATAGAGTTAAGTAAATTTAGATGAATAAAGCGAGCACTTAGATTGTAAATCCTCTTAAGCATCCAAACAACTAGATTCCTCCCTCAACTACTCAATTTTAATCTTTTAGAGCTGTGGGAATTTCTAAGATAAGACAATACATTTCTCAAGAATAATAGCTCTTAACCCTCAGTTAATTAACCGAAATTTCTTTCTTAATTAATACCTCCTAGGTTGCATTAAATTTGATTTGTGAATTTCATTATTAGGGTTGTCCTTGATATAGAAGACTTATATCATTCTATCTCTAGAGTTGCATTCAAGCCTTTTCAAATGAGTATTGGTCAATTCAAGCTAGGTTTCTACTCAAAACCAAAACCATGAAAATAAAATAAGAGATAAATTGAATCATCAACCAACAAGTAAAGCTACTTAATTGAACTCAAGAAAACAAAACATGAGATAGTGTGAAGGAATTAGAAATTAAACATAAAGAAACTACGATTTAAAAGTAAAAAATAATTAAAGAGTCTTGTTGTCATCCCCAGTTATACTCGTTACTGTTTCTTCATTCAAAAGTGTTTTGCCTAGGTTTTTGCATCATCCACCTTTTATAGTGGTAGTCCCCTGCTCATTTTCTTGTAGAAACTCAAATCTGACACACATTAAAGTACACACTCAGGTACAAGGTCATGTACATGACTGTGTACATCTTTGATTTCTTAAATATTCACCCTTTTAAGCTTCTTTGATCTACATACTCATATACACAGTTACCGTGTATATCTCTACTTTAGATAATTTGCTTAATTTACGTGATTCGAGAAGTACACAAGCATATACATGGGCGTGTACTTTCTCGTGTAGATCTCTAGTTTTGTAAATCTTCAAAAGAAGTTGATATTGCTTCCTTTTTTACCCATTAATCTTCTAAAGCTCTCACTTCTTGTTCATTCTCCTTGAAAACATGAATAACAATCTAATTAATAATAAATTCTTACAATGGTTAACTCAAAATCTCAATCATTATTCATGAATTACATTATAGGATCAAGCATAAAAAGCATTTATAATGACACACTTTTCTTTGTTAAAATTGAGTGATATCTTCTTTTGTGGTTAGACACTTAGAGAGAAAGGAAAATAGAGTATCCTAATTTAATGTTTGGGTAAAAGGTAAGAAATATATAACTCTATTTGGGAGACATTTTTAGTTGCCTATATTCAGTGTTATTACTTTTTTGTTCTTTCGATCTCATGAGTTTACAAGTTTTTTTTGCGATAATATGTTTCAAGTTAATTCTTTATTTTCAAGCAGGACTTGCTTAAGGACAAACAAACTCAAGCATAAGGGAGTTGATAAGCCTATATTTTTCAGTGTTTTATAGATTATTTTTATATGTTTGGCCATTATTTGATGAGAGTTTTACATTGATTTATTTATCATTTGTTGCAGTTTATCATAAAGAGGTTACCAGTGCATTATTGAGAAATTTGTTTTTGGTCAAAATTATATAAAATTTGAGGTAAGAAGCACACCTTTTCTTAACAAACTCATTGGGGGTGCTTTGATGACATGCACGATCGAGCTCATGGGTGTGCACGGTCATGTTTCATATCTAATGACTCAAATTTAAATAATTTTTAGGGTTCTCAGAATCTTATCTAAGGAGCAAGTGGACCTGCAAAAAAGGCAATCTTTGCTAGGCTAACTTTTGACAACTCTTGGAGTTATTTGGGAGTGAAAATCACAGGTGAAGATGAAAGATATCTCTATAAAGTTTGAGCAAGTGATGAAAAGCACATCTTAAGAACAAGAACTCTTCTCACCTCTTCTCCTTGTGATTCTTGTAGTTTGCTTTTCTATTTCAAGTGAAGATAATTTTCTTTACATTTGTTTACTTTGTTCATATCATTATGAGTAGTTAAATCCAAAGTTAGAACTATGGTAAATCTTTTGCATGACTTTAGATGAATTTTAAGGTTAATAACAATTTCAATTTTATTTTTTTGATTGATTTTTTATTCTAGTGAGTTTATGTCTATACGTTTGAAATTGACGACTCTTAACATATCATAATTAATTACATTATAGACAACTGTATCACATGTAATTAATGGATTTATGAAATAAAATAAAACAAAGAACTAGATAGACCAAATTTAGTTTTTCTTTTTTAATCAATTATTAAATTAACAAATTCATAGACTCTTTATGCTTTCTCTACTTTTTTGCCTTGCATGACCATTGATGGTAATAACTTAGCGAAAACATTACTAATATTGCATAACCATTAGGTGATAGTAGTATTAGTATGAGTGATTGATGATCGTAAGAAAATCAGAATTAAAATTAAACTAAAAATGAATATAAAGAAGTGTAAAGGTGAAAACATATGCCTTAGACTCATCTGAAATAGTTTTGTTAAGGGTTGCAATGTTTTCTTTTCAATAACCCTCTTGATTTAAGTCTATTATCATTTTATTTTCTTACGAACTATTTAAATTTAAACAATTGAATCACGATAATCTTAGTATTTAGAACAATATCTGTGGAACAATATTTTTAAAACTTAATTTAAGAATCATTTATTAATATTTGATGAGTACACTTGTCCATGAACAATAGGTTAGACAAGAAGGTTTTAAAGGTCACTTTGACTTGATTCATCTTATTCACCATTATTATTGACCTTATCATAAGTTGTATTAGTTATTCCTCTCCCTCCTTAAAATGAAAATTCTGGAACATTTTCCTCCTACCATTGAACTTAGGCAGAGAGATACTTTTTTTATTCTTATTTATTTGTTCTTTGTATGAAGAAACTAACTCTTGATTCAAGAAAAGTTCTTGATGAAAAATAGTTTCTTGTGAAAGTATTCAAGAATAGCCTCACAATCTTTCATCTTTTCTTTGTAATTACTTTTTGAACTTCTCAAAACTTTTTCTTTCTTTTAATATGAAAGTTAATTGGGATAAGACATGTTTCATCCCCTCAAAGAATGTGACTTGATCTAAAGTCAACAAATTCACTTGTATAATTCATTTTTAGCATACTTACTAGTTGGGCAAGTACTTGGGTTTTCCACTGTTAATAAGCAAGGTAAGGAATAAAAATTTCTTATTTATTATTGATAAGATAAACTTGCGTATTGGAAGGACTAACTCTTAAATATGGCTAAGAGAGTTACTATGGCTAAATCTATTTTGTCATCAATCTAAATCTATTTCACACAAAATTTACGAATATTAAAAGAGTTTATAACATATTGATGCCAGTATTCAACATTCATATGGAAGGAGAATGCAACTTTTACTCAATCTTGAAGTTTGGCTAATTGAAACTTAATAAATAATCCTATCTTAGAGAACTGTGTGTTCATTCTACAAAAGAAACTAACATTTCTCTTCTTAGGAAATGTGTGGAATATGATGTATGGTAAGGATAAGTTATGGACTAAACTTTTAACATATAAGTATCTCCAAAACTCTTATGCTGAATACTACATCCAAATAACACGCTTCTTATGTTTGGAATTTCATCATTAAAGTTGTATCTCATCTCCGACTTTAGTTTTTGGTTAGAGAGGAGTGATATGTCATTGCGGTATGATAGATGGATAGATGATGAACGTACATATAACTTGATTTTTTTCGTGCATATTAATGACATTAATCTTTGGGTACGAGACATTTATAGGGATGGGGATTGATATTTTGATGATGATGAGGTAAATGATGTCTTATTATAGGTAGCATCCAATTCTGTGTTTTATTCAACTAGGAGTTGTTATGAGTAATTCCCTTGCTACCTTCAGTGTGTTAAACACCACTAGTGTTTGGGATTCCAAACTTTTAAAAAATGTCAAACATTTTGTTTGACTCATTCTCCATGAGACTCTTCTCACTAATGTTTTTCGTGTTTATAATTATATTTCTTTTTATTTTTCTTATTAGAGGTGCTTGATTGTTAAGGAGACGATTCTTTGTTGCCTTAGTGGTTGCTTTATGTGGGAGCTACTTTGTTTTCTTAAGTGGATCAAACTTCATATTACTAATCCGTGGGATTCTTTTTTTGCTTTTACTTGTTGAATTGTTTAAAAAGTAAGGAACATGAGGGTGTTTTATTATATTATTTGGCATGAGG